CCTATGTCGGGATAGGCCCCTTTCCCTTCAAAAAAACTTTTAATTCGCTTTCAAAACAATATTTGAACGTTTAACTAGCCATACATATAGTCCAAGATGCCCTTTCAATGTAAGCCTAATAAAAATAAAAACATTTCCAAGAGGAACTGATTATTTTTTAATGCAAAGTCGAACCTTTTAAAGCCGATTAAGCTACTTTAATTGAACGACACGACTTGAATATGTATGTAGCATACAAAAAAAAAAAGTAAGTGCGCCTGGGCCACACTGGAGAAGTGAAACTTACGTTACATACATATCTATTTTGTTTAATAGCCAATATACATACATACATCTGCTTCTGCTTAAGGTTTTATTTTTTGTCTTTTTTCTATATAGATCCCTACCTCTACCCCTGTTCGTTCTAATTACATTTACGTTATCCTGTTTTCCTTTATCTTCATTTTTATCTTTATACTCTTTCGATAACAAAATCGATAGTAACATCCAATAAAATATCGATAACAAAACCGATAAAAATATAGATAACAAATCGATGAAAAATTCGATAAAAATTTCGATGGCAAAATCGATAATAATATTGGTAGCAAACTCTATTAGAAACTCGATAAAAAATATCCATAAAAATATCCATAACAAAATCGATAAAAATATCGATAAAAAATCGATAAAAATATCGTTTACAAAATCGATAAAAATATCCACAACAAAATCGATACCAAAATCAATAAACATCGATACCAAAATCTATAAACATCGATAAAGATCGATAACAAAATCGATAAAAATATATAAAAATATCCATAAAAATGTCGATAACAAAATCGATAAAAATGTCCATAACAAAGTCGATAAATATCGATAACAAAATCGATAAATATCGATCAACAAAAATTGATAAATACCGATAGCAAAATCGATGAATATCGATAACAAAATCGATAAATATGGGTAACAAAATCGATATTACATCGAAAAGTTCCGAAAATATCGATAGCAAAATTGATAACAATATCGATAAAAATTTCGATAAAAATCGATAAAAATTTCGATAAAAATCGATAAAAATCTCGATAACAAAATCGATAAAAATATCGATTATTTTGTCGGTAAGTCCAGAGAATCCCGAAAAGCTCTAAAATCACCAAATAATTCCCAAACTGAGTCTCTGTGTCTCCCCTATATCCTTTCCTCTTTAATTACCTTTATTTTAATCTTTCTTCCCCTATCTTCATCTTTACTTTTATCGGTATCCTCATCCTCATCTTTGTCTTTACTTTTATGTTTATAATTTTCTTTATCTACATATTCCCCTTCACCCTTGCCCTTATATACATAAGTGTTTAAATTTACCTTGGTCTTCATTTTTACCTTTATCATTACGGATCTTTGTCTTTGTTTTTATTTTTACCTTTGCCTTGCCTTTAACTTTACTTTCATTCTTTTATTGGTCTTTTTCTAAGTGTTATTCTTTAACCTTTTATTGACAATTTTTTTTTTAATTAATATCATACGCATACACACAAAAATCACTTGTTTCAGCCCCAACCATTTCCATTGCACCATTTCCGTGTGCAATTCCGTTGAATTTACCGCTAAACAAGTTTCACTTCAAAATAATAAGCTCTTAATATGTATTAAAATGAAAAATTTGTTATCACTGCATCCGTGTCAAGCCAAATTAAAGCAAGATTTATTTAAGAATTTCATTTATCATATTTGAATAATTGAAACTTTGTAATAATCTTTTGTCAATTCTGGTATAATTTTACTTTTTGGTGTATGTATACATAATTTAAGTGATTTTTCGCGTGGTTATCATTTGAATAATTAAATTTGAATAACATTCAATGCAAACAATTCAATTATATTTATTAATGTATGTTAAAGAGATCACCGGCTGAAGGTAATGGTGCTAAACCACCAGTTACATCCGGCAACTGGGTTAAGTCTGGCAAATTCGATAGATGATCACGTATTTCCTTTTGAACAGCAACCATTCGATTCAATTTTTGCTTGTATTCCTGTAATAAATTGTAAAATTGAATATATATATATATAAATTACATAATAAAGAAAATTAAGTGCTTCATTCTTCTACAATCGGTTAATTACTTTATTTATAAAACAATATGTAAACAAAAACTCTAATGCTGGATTTACACTAGGCATTTAATAGCAAAATTGGCAAATGACAAAGTTGGGCATTAAAAAATAATCGTGTCATTACGTTAAAAAATAGTCATTAAGTTCATTTCCACATTAAGGTACATTATTTATGTGGCTTGTTCCACATGACATACATTTTTTGTCATTGCAATCCCTAGTGGAAATCCGGCATAGCACGTATGTATACCGGTTATTGGTAAAATTTCATCATTTTTAATTAGTCCCAATTAAAAAATAAAGAATTATTAAATCAATCACGCTTGCGGCATCACTATTTAACTATAGTTTTAAATATTCAAATGCCGACAGTTGTATTCTAATCGTAATAAGAAACCACCCATTCATAATGACCTGCATTCGGGTGTACGATACCAGAATCGCCACCATTTATTGCTTGCCAGGAGCTGCTGCTCAGCAGATTTCCTTCAATGCTGCGGATAATTTTTTATGCTATCACAATAGCTGTAACAAATCCGGCCTTCACTTTTAAGGAAGAGCAAATCAAACTCCCAACATTAATTTTAACTTATTTCTGAAGTATTTCATAGTTGAGCATCTGCAACAGAGCATCAAGAAAGCAACAAGGTTTTCAATATTGCGGTAATTATTACGTAGCTCGAGCATATCCTAGGCACATGCGTACAGCTAAGAACATGAGTTAAATTTTAAACTAAATTTTGCCGAAGCTTAAAAATATGTATTAGAAACCTAACAACTAAAAGACTAATCGATTAACCAAGTATGCCATTCATTCCCGCAACTCTTACATAACATGCAACGTGGCTCTTAATGTATCCACTGATTTACAATCTAGACAAACTTTAGAGAATTAAAATAATAAGTGTTTACTCACATCTAAACGTTTTTCAGCTTGGACCAAAAGCTCTTTCTGCTCTGCTTGAAAATCTCTCAACATAGAAGCCAGCTTTGTACGTTCCTCCATTTCAGCGGCTAGCCGGGCATTGTACTCATTAAGTAACTGCACAGCTTCATTAACCTGCATAAGGAAATTGCTAGATAAAGTTTTGAACAAAAATGTAATATTCTTGCCTGTTTAGCCAGTGCTTTAGCTGCATCTTTGTCCTCCAACTTGCTAAGGCAACCGATTTCAGATATTTCTGGCGGCAAATTCGCGATTCGTTCGCGAACAACAGCATCGCTTGAAGCGGAATTTTCAATATTTGCTAAAGCCTTGATCAACTCCTCGGGCTCTGGTGGATCACCCAATGGTAAGTATGGACTTAAGTGCCCAGCATCGCCATTTTGACCAGCACTAGGCTTCTCTTCCACAACTCCTTGCGGACGTGACCGTTTCACTTTCGACGGTTTGCCTTCTTCATGCTTACGTTTCTCACGTTTTTCAGACTTTTCTTTACTTCCACCACCTTGACTACCGTTTGTATTGGGCTCACTGGAGGTGCCACTGCTACTAGCATCTGCCCTATCCTTTATTTCCTTATTCAATCGGCCACGATACTCATTAATTGGTTTAGAATCATAAACGCCACGTTCTTCCCAAATATTTAAGATACGACCGAGACTTCCAAACAGTTTTTCGGATGTACAAGTTTCGCCAATGTGGGTAAATACTTTGGGCAATATTTGAGAAAATTCCTTGCCATATTCTGGACCTTTCTTCTTGCTATTTTGTATAACATCGTTAGCCAAATACATAAATGTAAGTTTCTTGCCCTCCGAAACGGCTACAAAATACATATGTGCAAATAAATAAAATTACAAAGTTATCAATCGTCCAAATCTTACCACTTTGTAGTTCCTTGAACCATGTTTTCACAATTGACGCGTGGTGTTTGCGATGATGAATCAACCACAGAGACAGCGTTTGAATACTTTGCTGGCTTGAGTTTAATTCCCCCAGCTTTTTAAGTAATGCTGAATCGGAAAATGCGGACATTTTACCCGAGACTTGTCGCGTTAATTACAATTATTTACAAAACCGTCAAAAATTCGATGATATATGTACGCAGGCGACTAAAAAACAACAAAGCCGTCTCTTGTTTTTCGATTGACAGCTGTCAGTTTTTTGTCAGTAGATTTTGCGGTTATGGACCAAAAAGGCAATACCGGAATCGGTTACGGACCAATTAATTTCCTTCATATTGACGATTTAAGCAAGTTCCTCAATATTACTGCACAATATTTTTGCTACGTCCTTTTAAATTTTTAACCACTTAAGCCCAGCCAGCAAAATATCCGGAAACGTATCCGAAAATGGAAACAATTTCGTATAAATACCGTTTTCCTATTCCGTTTTCGGACGTTTTTCAGATCAATTCTCCCACTAAAGTGTTCACCCGAAACGTATGTGCAGAAAACTATCGAAAATGGTTGTAAAACGGATGCGCTTTCGGCTGTTTTCCCGAAATTTGTCTGATTTAAATTTTCGTTGGAAACGATTTCATTGTGAACTTCACAGAAACTTTTTCATAGTTACAGTAAACCAAACAAAAAACAATTTTAAGATTCAGCAATTATTTCAATTTGAATAAATAATTTTAATGTGTGGCTTCTGACGGAATTCGAACCTGGGATCTCTTGAAAGCTAACAAATACTAGCACACTTCTCTGCACACTCAGTTACTGGCGAATACGTATACATGTTTTCAAACGCTCAGTTTGAACAAATATTTTAAAATTATTGTTTTGAAATAAGATGATGATATTGTGGCGAATACTGCGGCAACACAAAGCGAACAACGAGAAATAGGCA